CGACACGGGCATTATGGAGGGGCTACAGCACCGCCTGCGCCAGATTAGTACACTGACCAACGGTGCCCAGGCCATCGAGTTCCAGGGGCAGTGCATGATGCGACGCCGCAATAGCCAAGGCGGCTACGAGTGCTTCGTCCGATGGTCACCGCGCGAGATGTAAGTTAGCCCGAAGCGCTCTCTATTTCCCAGACTTATTCCTTATATCTCCAAACAGCATTTCCGACGAGTGGCTGCCGGAGTGCCTAAACCGAACGCGTCAGCACACTAAGGTACTGCACATCAAGCAAATGCGGCCAGCCGAAAAAACTCGCGTGGACAGCCTGCTCAGCACGGCTTTCCGTTTACGCTATGACTCCCACTTATTTGCCGACGATTACAATGTCATCGAGCAGCAGATCGGCGAGGCGAGCGGCAGCGACTGCGACGACGATGGTGATCAAGTGGAGGAATTGGAGGATGAAGATGAAGAGGAAGAAGAAGATGGTAGCAGTAGTTCGCGAAGCGCGAGTTGTGAGACGGTGTCCAGCTATCAGCAGGTACTTAGCATCGCCAAGCTGCAGATGCAACAGCGGCGTAAGCATCCGCGAAAACCACCCAAAATGACACCGCCGGCGAGGGAGAAGCTGGTTCCAACGGACGCACTAGTGCCCATTTAGGTTCATACCAGTTTTATAGTATTTTCTAAGTAATTAAACCGAAAAACAAACGACAAACGAGTAAACAGTGACAAGTAGACTAGTTAGTATAAGACTCAAGTAAATTACTACTACATGCATCCATTAATGTATAGATATTATAAGTACTCCCGCTTTGGTCGTTTTTGTTTTGTTTGGTGCGCGAACCAGTCGTTTAGTTTTTGATTCCATCCAAGTTTCGTTTATTGACCATTGTACATATATTCGGATGGAATCAAGAGTAAAGTCAGAAGCATTTAGTGGCCACCTAATCGCAACCCACCCACGCGTTCTAGCAAGTGCTGTTATGAACAAATGTCCTAGTTTCTAGTTCTAATTTAATTTCTAAAATGTATACTTAGTAAAGATTCATGTGGGAATGGCCGACTGGACAACACTTGTTTGTAGGCCAAGTTTATGTTAATCCATTAACAAAATTAAAGTTACATTTTGTTTTCTTTTTGTTGCCCCCGTCGTATTGTATTGTACTCTTAGAAACTGGCCAAACTTACACTGAAAGCGGAAAATCTACGCACACAACTGAGCAGTTAATGTTTAAGAATAGTAAAGTGACGTGGAAGAACACAAGACTTGAAGCATTTACCGCTAAAAATACGAGAAATATTTGTATGACATTTTGTACTCAACTCGAACAGCAATGCAACAGTTTTAGCTTAAGTTAGACCCAAGCCCAAGACGATTATCCATTAATTTAGTGCAAATCGAATGCAACTTTCGCCAACTCATCCGGGTCTCTCAATCTATTTGTAAAAGTTTGACGAGATGGAAAAGCATCGTGCATACTGTAAATAAAATAGCATTAACTAGTTTCGCGTTTAAACTTACATTAAACCTATTCATTTAGAAATTAGCCAAGGCAAATCCAACTAAAATATGAAAAATAAAGCTTTCGAAAGAAGATCAACAATATACAAGCGCAGTATAACACAAAATCCCATGTTTTTATTTTGTATGATTTTGCGGACAAACCAAAAACCATTCAAACCCTTTACATTTCATTTTCATATTTTCAAACGGTAACCGTTTCTTATAATTTTCTATGCGAATGAATTTGCGTGTCTTTAAAGTAAGTAAATGAAAATGAAGACGAAATCACAAACATGAATAAAAGAGTACTCACCACTGCCAAATATGTAATTCAACAACAAGAACCCAGTTGTTAGGAACGACTGATTAATTTAGTGTGCGGCATGGGCGGGGCCAGAAATTATTATAACTGCTAATACCCTAATTCCTGCTCGAGCACTTGCCCTATGTTGCACAATAAAAGCTCGCTTCGAGTCGAGTATATTAAATATATCTGAGTGTTGTCCTAAGTAGCTGTAGATGCGTATCTGTGCCCCTCAAGTAATTTAAGCTTACAAGGACGAATGACAAAAAATATATATAAATGAAGGTGTAATTCCCGTGTATCTAAAGAGGAGGCAGAAAGTCGTGAGGACTTTGTGTCTGCTGATCACAGCCCACAATGATTTAAAGCAATACTCTATGATATTAGCCGATCAAGCTTAGTTGACTCTTCCATTCGGTTAGACTTTCGATGCCTTTCGCCCTAGTTGTTCAACGCTTTGTACTGCAAGAAATGAAGAAGTCTATAACTAATGGAAATAAGTATCAAACAAGAATCCAAGAGTAAAGAAGTAAAGGAAAAATTGAAATAAAATAAAACTACCTCAAATTTTGCAAGCATAAAATACACAAAAGAATTTTTCGAGACAAGTTTTCTAAAGCGAAAAGAGTATATAGGTGCAGCGGTATACGGCTGACAACCACAACCGAAGGATTCGAGCAGGGCGGAGCCGAAAAACAAGGGAGTAGTACGCACTACATGAGTACACACAAAGAAACAAGGGGAAACCGTAGGCTAATTTCATATTTTGCTAGTATCGCGAACGGTCTGTAGGATAAGCAATGATCCAGATGAAGTACATTTACCTCGGCTTTTGTTTTCAATCCCATCGGAGGACCCTTTCGAGACGAACACCCAGTTATGCATTTGCCTTTAGCCCTGAGCTGAGTTTGAGTTTGTACATAGATTAGTTTACCCAGTATGAGGCACATACTTATTATCATAACCATATTTTAAATATTAAAACCGCTTTAATAAATTGCAGGCAGAAATGAATTAAGCATACATAATTATGGTAATTAGCAGGCGTACACATACAAACGTATACAGGAGAAGTATTTATATTTCGTGGTTTGATTTTGGATTCAGTTCTGGCCAAATCTGAGGCGATACGCAGCCACGACAGCAGAGATCTTGCTTCGATTGTAACTAATGTAATCAAAAGAATTATATACATATATATTATAGAACTCTATATACACAACATAGTATGTACAAGTGGACTCAAACCGATTCTGAAAACCAAGATCATGTAATGCGCTGAGAAATGAAAAAATATAAAAAGAAATCAAGTATTATGCTATATTCGTAGTTTTATTTCGTTTGTTTTCGGGGAAGATACGATGACTTCATTATCATGGAGAGTAAATCCTGCTCTAAAGTGCCTATATATATAAACCCCCTCGCCAAATCCAAAAGTTTCCAGCTTGCAATTCAAATCATATCACATTAAAACAATAATGAAGAAGTAAAAAAAATTTATCATAATATGGATAGAACACTTTAGATTCCGAATTGAAACAGTTGAAACATTCTTGCTCCATAAAAGCGTTAAATTACACTCCATTTGTTTATATCCGGATAACATGTTGAAAAGTGGTTTTAAAAAAACCAATTTTTACTATTTTTATTAAATATCTTCTTGATTGTGATTTCAGTGATTGAGATGTACGTTAGATGTGAAAATCGCCAATTTAGCGAAAAATTTCAAAAACTACAGGATATTATATAAGCATGTAATGAATACGGCTAAGAAGCATGCTGCTGCGTTTATTTATCCCCCTTTTTTCGCAGCAACGGAACAAATTATAGTTATACCCGTTACTCGTAGAGTAAAAGGGTATACTAGATCCGTTGAAAAGTATGTAACAGCTAGAAGCTAAAGTATATACATTCTTGACCAGGATCGATTGACGAGTCGATCTGGCCATGTCCGTTTGTCCGTCCGTCTGTCCTTAGGAACGTCGAGATCACAGGAACTATAGAAGCTGGAAAGTTGAGATTAGTCATGCAGATTCCAGTGACATAGACGCAGCGGAAGTTTATTTCCAAATGCTGTCGCGCCCACAAACCGCACAAAACTACCACGCCCACACTTTAAAAAATGTGATATTTTTTCATTTTTGTATACATATTGTAAATTTCTATAAGTTGGCCAAAAAACTTTTTGCCACGCCCCCTCCAACGCCCACAAACCGCCTATCACTGCCACGCCCACACTTTAAAAAAATTGTTAAGTTATTTTTTCATTTTATTATTTTTTCTCAATTTCTACCGATATACTCTACGAGTAAAGGGTATAATTATGCATTGTCGAAAACTAGTAGTATACGAATGAAAAGGAGGGTACATTGTTATCCCTGATCAAGAATATCTATACTTTATATGGTCGCAATTGTTTCATTTACTGCGTTGCAATTTGCATCTGACTGAAATCAATACTTTGTTCCTCAAAATCTTTTTTTTAATTAGCTCTTTAACTAGGCATCACATTGAATCAATGCGTACTTGCAGCAAGTATTTTAAAATATGTTTGGAAGTTATTTGCAGCAGCCCTATCAGTACATTTTTAAATTCTAGGTATGCAATTCACTTGTTAGAATCAGACAACCATAACAGATCCTCACTTCTTGAAGTATATTATATATGGTAGGCCCCATTGCACACTCTCCTGGTGCGCTTCGTCACTACATGAACCACCGTTCACAGTGACTATGCGTATATTTAACTTAAAGTGATGTCATATAAAATTTTATGTCATATAAAAAGGTATTAACGAAGCTGGTGTACTCTTTTATAAGAAGTTAAATAATATTTAATACATTTTTGTTTAAAGTTTCTATTAATCGACACAGACCTTTTTTTCATACAAAGTTTTTGATTTGAAGGTGCCTCAACACTTTTTTCTCACCTACCGTTTTATACCTTTTCCCGTTTCAAGTATGACTCTGAATGATAAAAATAGCTGGATTTTAAATCTCTAGCTTACCTTTTACCTTTTAACTAGTATACTCATTATTTGGTTGTATTTATTTGCAAGATTTTGTTCCACATATGGATAAAAGTTTTCCCTGAAAATGTTATCTATAACGCCGAAGACATGGTTACACATATGTATGTACATAAGTATGTATAAATCGTAAATACATTTTTTTTTTTGGGCCAAGATAACATTAGGCACTAGGAGGAGACTTCTTGCTTTTTATCTCTTTCATGACTTGGAGGAAGAACTTGATTGTGCCTACATAATCATTACTCGTCGATAAAATCCTTGAGGAAAAGGCGGCAGAAGACTAGTATCCAGAAAACCGTTACGAGCTATTAGCTGGCCCTGCAGTTGGAAAATGGGTAAGGATCAATCAGTTACACAGATCAGCAAAAAAATCGAAAGAGCAGGAGTGGTTAACCTTCGAGTAACGCTTACTTCCAGATTATGACGCCAATGGTATGAAGTTCCTCCCCTCGATTACCTCGCATATTCTGATTGTACCGTCAACTAAGAATGGTTTCTACTAGTTGCTGTAGTTTTGAAACTTGAATTCGAATTTGGAAAACAACAGCTTTTAATTAGATCTCGTAATGAATTTGTTACAACGCGTTACAATTGGGTTTAGCAAAGGCACAATCAAGAAGAAGTCTTCACATGGCAAGACATGTTGCGTCCGAGTGAAAAATGAATTATTTTTTAGGATACTTTTCAACATTTACCAATTGCCCAATAAAACAGCTGCCCAATGAAACCAGTAAAACGAGTTCCATTACGACTACGATTGACGAACCTCCTCCTTTAATACTTACTAAATCGATTCCTTTGTTTTTAATTAAGAACCACAAATCACTATCGGAACATGAAACAATTAGTTTGATGATGCCCTTACTCGTAGCGTAAAGGAGAGATTCTTTGGAAAGTATGGGCAGGAAGTACTTCACACCTGTAAATTTAATTCTGTATAGAATACATATTCTTGATCAGAATCACTGTCCGAGGTTAGTTTGCTTGTCTGTCCGTATAAAATCTAGAATGTAGGGATCAAGCAAGTGACTTTGCGATACTGATCAATATATATAAGCCTCATGGAATCGGAAACGAGAGTTAGAATGTCGTCAATGCAACGGACAGACAGACAGGCGGACAAACATTATTCAACTGTACTAGTGATAGTAAAATAAAGCACTTTAGAGGATCAGAAAAGCTTCCTTCGAACATTTTGCCAAGATTGCGTAAAAGGCTACATTATTGTTAATAAGTCCTCAACCCACCCATAAAAATACACTTTGTTTGGAAATTAGAAATTACAATTTATTTCATACAATGTCTGTTGTTGATGGTTGTTTACTTGCTTTATAAGTTGTTTCGAATACACAGTTACAGTTTCTAAAACCTCACCATTGAATACATGTATAGGTAGGTCGATGTTGTGGGGTGCATGCAACTTAAACAAATAACAATATGAATTCGTGACACAATTGTTCGAGGTACGCGTAACAATAATAAACGGAATTTTCAACACTTGCGCTGTGAGTTCTTTAAGCTGGCAATCGAGTTTATTAGTTTCCCCCACCGCTTTCCGATGGGAACGTAACACTGACGCTGCAACATTCGGTGTCGGATGGGGGAATCTGTGATGGAACGGATTTGATTGACCGGCAACGTCACATGCTTATATACAATTGCTGATTGTGAGCACAAGTGGTTTATTTGCAGGAGTGTTTTGTGCATTTCTGTTGTGGTCGCTTTCTTGTGGGGATCGGGAGGTGTGCGCAAGCAGAGCGATTCAAGTCCCGGGAATTTAGCGCCTCCGCACAGGTTGAGCTCCTCCGCATTCTCAGCATCACGAATGCATCGGCGTCCAACGGGCGGTGGAATGTGCATCCTTCGCGGGACCGGGTCGTTCAGCTTGCGAGCCTCCCCTACAAATTAATTGTTATTTGCCTAATGCCACTATACATGTTGATCTGGTGTTGTTGGGTTCGGTTCCGAAGTTGCTGCTTATAACTTCTAATTTGTTGGGATTTTACAATTTTTTTTGTTGTATTTTTGTGGTAGATTTCGTGTTGCTAATGCGGTTGTTGTTGGTATGAGTTTCATTTGCAACATTCGTCTACGGTTTTTGGGTTCTGCTTGCACGACTTTTGTTGTGGGTATTCTTGTTTGTTGGTTTATAATTTTTCTACTACAATTTCTTGTTAATATTTTATACATAATATATATTTATATATATAATTTTTTCTTTACTATACAATAACAGCGGAAAAATTGTGTGTTGTGGTTGTTGATTTGCAGTATTTCATAGTTTGTCGCATTACATTCATTCACTTGATTTGTTTTGTTTCGTATGTTTTATAACAACTTTTTCATGTTAATATGTATAATTGTTTATGATTTCTTGTTCTCGTTTATATATATATATTCTGTATATATTATGTATATCAATACCGTAATTGTTTGTATTACCATCTTTTCTTATCACAAAAAATCATAATTATATATATAATTTATTATTATTAATTTTTAATATATTATTCTTAGAATTGAACAATAATTAAAAATAAACATAGGACTTAGTTACATTTTGTATGTGTGTGTGTTGGTTTTTTGTGTGTGTGTGTGAATGATTGCATGTAGTTGGTTTTCGCAGTTGACGATAAAGTATTGCCAAGCGTCCGCATCTCTAGAGGGACCACTGTACTGAGCTTCCACCCCTCCCAACGAAGTTGGGGGCGAGGCGCGCCCAAACAGCGGCAATCGGACGAGAGCGGTACGTTGCCGCGCCGGATGGCATCGGGCGGAAGCATTGATGTTGTGGTAGCTGCTTGTTTGTTTGTTGTTTTGGCCCTTTCGCTAAATTTGTTGATCTGAATTGGTTGCAGCCGCGTCAGGCTCAATGCAAATGTACAAAGTTTCTTCTGACAATTGTTGGTTGTTGATTTCTTTACAATTTTTTCTTTTTGTTTAACGAACTTTACATATACACTAAACATTATTTAATAATAATAATGGAAAAAACAAATAACAAAGAGCACACAAAATTGTGGAGCGCAAAATAATAAGTAAAAGAGAAGGATTTCTTGATATAGCAAAATCATAATTATTACAACTTTATGAACTTAACTGCAAATTGTTTTCCTCGTGTTTAAGACTGATTTTGAACGGAAAATAACTAAGCTAAACAGCGCGCCAGCGAATCGAGGTAAACTGAGCAACAGGTGCAAATCGGCGGCCACCAATGGGCAGTGCATGGCGGAAATCCTGCAATCCGGCAGGATTTGGTTGTTCTCCCTATGTACAAACTGTCCACGCCAGGGTTACCACGCACACGCACTGTTGTGGTTTTTGCTTGTTGGAACTTGCATGTTGCTCGTTGGCTTGACACAATTTTACCTGCTCCTCTTGAAACTGCTGCTGATGTTGTTGTGGCTGCTTTTGACTGCTGGGCGCCGTTTGTCTATCTGTTGTTGTGTGTTTGCATTGATTGATTTATTTCGTGTACAGGTAAATGGCCACAATCAAGCCGTAGAGACCCAACACTTCGGCGAAGATGAGAATCAGGATCATGCCCACGAACAGTCTAGGCTGCTGTGCTGTGCCACGGACACCGGCGTCTCCCACGATGCCGATCGCAAAACCAGCTGCCAGGCCAGAGAAGCCCACCGCCAGACCGGCTCCCAAGTGAATGAAGCCCCTGGACAATGACACAGTTAGTGAGTGGAATCGAATGGGGTAGTCAATCGATAATTACCTGTATAGTGAGTACTTTGAGGGCTCTTCCAGCGCGCCGGCAATAAGCACAGCCACCACCAGACCGTAAATGGCAATGATACCCGCCATGACCACAGGAATGATGGATTTCATGATCAGTTCAGGCCGCATCACTGACATGGCAGCAATACCGGTACCAGACTTAGCAGTGCCATAAGCAGCGCCCAGGGCTGATAAAGAAATTCAAATACATAATAATTAGTTTGGGTCATATCAAGATCATATTTTTGTGGAAAGTGGCGTCATTTCATTTACAGTGTAAGAATTTTCTAATTAATCGCATATCTACAACTAAATACAATATTAAAGAAGTATTGTATGCATTTGCTATATGTATGCTTCACAAAGTCAAATTTAATAAAAACATAAAATGGCACTTTGGCATGTTATACGAGCCATATCGGACCTTAAGCGTGAATCTCTAATTATGCGAGAACATATAACATTATGTAACTCTTCAATTTGTTAGCCATTTAAGCGGTGGCCAACCGAATAAGTTTGGATTCCCTTGCTCCAACTTTGGCCGCGGGCGTAACAGTTCGCAGTCACATGATCGTTTTTAACTGACGTTGTTTCATGAAAAACCCCCAAAGCCCGCACCCGCAAAAGTGCCACTCATCGCCCAGAGTTGAGTTTCAGCTGGAGAGCATTAAAACTTGCTCTGCTCACATTCCAAATCGGCGGGTTTTATTACTCGCTCTCTCGAAAAGTCGGGCAAATATTGATAAGGCCGAGCTAAAGTACATATATACGACAGGTTTCGAAGGGGGGTCAGCTGGACTCGGATCGGTATCTATTCGGCAGGCAGGTGGGCAGGGTAACGCAGTGGCGAGAGATTCAACTTATTTGTGTATCGATGGGGCATTAATTGAAGTACAAAACCAGTTTCATATGACGGTCAACTGAACGTTCGTGTGTTCGTGAGAGACTGATAAATCGAATTAAGCCGCACGCACACCAGCAACTTAGCTGAGTGTCAGATATATGGGTGTATTCAAAGCTGGCGGAGCGGGAGAGCAGATATCCACCAAGTCATGTGATTCGATTTTAATTACTTACTTTCCGCCTCGAGCCAAGATATTGCTGGTACTCGATTTGAAAGACGGCAGCGCACTTCTGGAACGCATAAATGCCCCGAATCTTCCACTAATCACCCTGTCTTATGGGCAGTTTTGCTCTTGATCAATGTGGGCTATCTACGTCACTAAACAGGAAAAAATATGGGAAATGCCCATGATAAAAACCAGAATGAACTTGAACAAGCAATTGGTTAGAACCACAAGAGATATCTACGCGCCTGGCACCAGCACACAGATATCTATGAGGTCGAGGTTGTCGTCACAAAAACACGAACACATCCTCACAAAAGTAGATTCCTCTGAAACACAAGTACAGAAATATTCTAGTGCGTTGTGGCCCGCAATGCGTGAAATGGCATTAACATTAGAAACATTCATTCAGCATTGAGCGACTGACTTGGGCTGTTGACCCAGTACTTTCTTCGAATGGTTACACCACGTGGCTTTCCTCGACTATGAATGTATATGCACAAACAAAAGCATACCTATCATATGATGTATGTAAGAACATATTCTTGGCATAGAGGGGTTTCTCCTAAGCAACTCAACAAAAGTGGAACTCATCGTATAGAACTTCAGTACTATTTGTTTATATTGTTGAATTTTCTACCGTGCAACAATGTATACGTGCGTACACCGTGTCTCACTCTGCCATTGATGCTCTTTCTGCAGTATTGGCGCCGCATTCAAATCGCAAAAATTATTTGAAAGAGCTGAAATGGCATTGACTTGTTTCGCCTTTTAACTGCCTATAGTGCTGCTGTGCATTTTAAGTAACCGCACACAGACACATCAGTACAAGGCATTTATCAAGAGACAGACGGCATCGCAGACGCTTCTGTGGGCGTTGAATCTTAAACAATATAAGGAATGATCGGCAGTAAGAGGAAGAGAATACGAGTCAGGCACAACAACAAATG